TGTGTGTGCACTCCACTCCTTGTGTGTGTGCGTGCACTCCTTGTATGTGTGTGCACTCCTTGTGTGTGTGTGCACTCCGCTCCTTGTGTGTGTGTGTGCACTCCACTCCTTGTGTGTGTGCACTCCGCTCCTTGTGTGTGTGTACTCTTTGTGTGTGTGTGCACTCCGCTCCCTGTGTGTGTGTGTGCACTCCGCTCCTTGTATGTGTGTGTGTGCACTCTGCTCCTTGTGTGTGTGCACTCCGCTCCTTGTGTTGGAGCTCACTGTACTAGGTAGTGAGAGAGGAGCAGAGGAAAAAGGTTTAGTTCCCGTGTGGGGAAGCACACAGGGAGAAGAGCATTTATTTGACTTATGGCTCACATTCCAGCAAGGAGGGAGCTGCAGCTGAGGCCCTGGAGGAGGCGCTCCCGAGTCCAGTCCGCTCCCCAAGGCTGGCTCAGCTTGTCCTCTGACTCAGCCCACCGGCCCAAGGACAGCATCACCGGTGGGTTGCGCCCTCCAACAACAGTTAACAATGAAGGAAACGCCACTCTGACAGTCTGACAGTCTGACGTCCGGGTTCCCAGGTGATTCTGATTTGGGTCACCTTGACAGTGACGGGGGTCTAACTGTCCAACACACAGGGGCAATAGTGACACCTTTGCCCTGTCACATACACAGGAGAGATGGCTTCTGGGACCCAGGCCACAAGCCTTTCGCCTTGCCTGCTGGGGAGCTCAGAACTAAAACTATGTCCCATTGGTGTCAAGCCTTTCAAAGCAGCTGCTGTGGGTTTGAAGGGCTGGCTTCCCCAACCCGATGTCTCCACCTCAATCCTGTCTTATTTTGTATGGCTACCTTGTCTTAGTTTTTGTTTTGTCTCTCCCACTTCCATCTCTTTGGCTTCTAAGGAGGAGGCAGGTAACACCCATGCCCTTGTAGGGCGGTGGTGGCACACACCTTTAATCCCAACATTTCAGCAGCAGAGGCAGGAGGATCTCTGTGCATTCAAGGTCAACCTGGTCTTCGGAGCAAATTCCAGGACAACCAGGACTACATCTCATGATCATTCTCAAAAAAACAAAAGAAAAAGAGAAAAGATCCCATGGCTGGAGGGCCGGCTCCCAATTGGGAGTGCACACTGCTCTGCAGAGCATAGAGGTCGATTCCCAGCACCACAGTTTCTCAACCAGCTGTCACTCAACGCCAGAGGACCTGGCGCCCCCTTCTGGCAAGGATTGGTACTGCATGCATGTGGTACACATACACAGAAAATAAAGCAGTTTTGAAAAGGGATTCTTCCCAGATGAGTACAGTCTCACAGGGACACACACACATACACAGGTTCACACAGACACATCCACAGGCTCACACGGACACGCCCACAGGCTCATACGGACACGCCCACAGGCTCTCAACATGCTGAGACCCCTCCGGTGGGAACACTGCATTGAAAATTCCTGTAGTCGGGTTGGAGGGTTGGCTCAGCACCCACAAAACCCAGACCGGACTGGAATTCACTGTGTATCAGAGCCTGAGCAGGAGGATCAGGAGTTCAAGGTCATCCCTAGCTACTTAGTGCATTGGGGCCAGCCTGGGCTACTTAAGACCCTGTCTCCAAAGATGGAGGGATGAGGAGGAGAGAAATCGAAGTAAGGTCTCTTGGGAAAAATCAGGGTGAACACAAGGCAGAAGTGGAATCTGGAAGAACCCAGCAGGCTACAACAGGCAGCCTCAGCCCTGCCAGGGTAGGTGCAACATTGCTCCCCCCCACCACAGAATCTGTCCCAATTGCTCACCAGTGAGGCTCTGCTGGGCCTGGATGAGGAAGAAGGTGCCTCCCTGCCCCCCTCCTCCCCCTTCTCTTCCTCTACTCCCCCTGCCTCCCAGTATGGAACCGTCCTTGCTGGCTCCAGCTCCCCTAAGATCGATGGGAGAATCAATCCCAGCTGTAGGGCTCCTCTGGGAGCTTCCACCCTCACAGCCTCCAGTCTCCCAGCCTCCACCCTCCCAGCTTCCAGCCTCCATCCTTCAAGCCTCCACCCTCCCAGCCTCCACCCTCCCAGCCCCATCCTCCCAGTCCCATCCTCCCAGTCCCATCCTCCCAGTCCCATCCTCCCAGCCTCCAACCTCCCAGCCTTCTCCACCCTCCCAGTCCCACCCTCCAAGCCTCCACCCTCCCAGCCTCCACCCTCCCAGCCTCCACCCTCCCAGTCCCATCCTCCCAGTCCCATCCTCCCAGCCTCCACCCTCCCAGCCTTCTCCACCCTCA